CTCGCAATAGCGGATCAGGTGGTCCGTGGTTTGATCAGCATGTTAGCTCTTTTTGCTGCTGGGGCCTGTTTGATGAAGAGTTGCGCCAGTGCTTGTATTTGTGTAATGAGTTTGCAGGGCTCTGGGAGATTCCGGAAAGAAGCTGCGGCTCCAACGGCTTATCACAGTGCTGTTTGCTACTGTATAAGTTTTTGATGCTCTAGGTCTCGTACCTTGTAGTGGTTTGAAGTAGAAATAATTGCGAAACACCAGCATTATTACGAAGTTGATGGACAGGAGCGGGAAAACGTGTTACGTCTTTGCCTTTCTGTGAGCAGGTGGGGGTAGAACGCGACAGCATCCCGTCAGGCGCAAGAGCTCTCGCACTGAACATGGTCTGGTGCTCTGGTGGTGATATGCTTGTGAGTAAGTTTCCACAACTTCATTCATGACGTCGGTACGCTTACAAGTTACACCTTTGAAAAGGTAAAATAGCGACTGAGGGATGTTTAGTGCTGGGTCTGGACAGGATGGAAATTTATCTCAGGATGCTCTCGCAATCTTAGGGCTCCTTTCAACAGTCCCATTATAGTACTCATACATGAAGTCTTAAGAAATTGTTACGGTTTGGGGATGTCAAATATCACAGGGTCATAAATGGGATTAAGCGCATGAGTGCAAATCGAGGCATTAATGAAAGTGGTCTCGCCATTCGTAGTGACTCCATTTTGCTCGTGAATGTGTCCGAAGACGTGGAATTTTGGATGTACTCTTTTTTCGACAGTGTTTAGTAGTTCGGAACAGCCACATCTTGTATTCTCCTAAAATATTTTGGTGCGGTTAACCGTTTAATGCGAAAAGTCCTTATACCGATTTAGAAGCCTGGAAGTTACGGAAATTTTGCGCTCAATGCATTAAATTCTCCTGGTTTCATGAACTTACTTTGTTAAAGATATCGTTATGTCCAAGTGGAGGTGTGTGGGTTACTAGAATGTCAGTTCCCGTTGGTATAAGATTCCACTTTTCCAACAGTTGTTGACCTCTAGGTAGATAGAAAGGGAAACCAGGGAGCGGATGCCATGAACTGCCATAGATATTTAAACCCATTACCTGAACACTTAGAAAAAAACAACATTCAAAAGTCTTAACAAATGAAAAGCTTAGTGCAAATTAAAGAAAGATTATCCGATCACTTTTGTAGAAGAATCTTGCAAATAGATGCAGTTTTTAAGAAGTTTGTATCCTTTTGGTGTGCCCTTTAAGCCCCTGCAGGCTATATTTTCTTGGCTTTCGCTAAGACTGTAATCGTCTTGAAAACCCAAGTCGTGATTGCCGGCTATAACTATTTTGAACTTGTGTGGTAGCTTGCCTGAACTAGTAATTAATAAGTAAATCACCAACGACATTACAACGTGGTACTGCCAGTTCCGACCTACATCTAATTTATTAAAAAGAGATTGTTCGACGTTATACAGTCTTTAGAAGAAAGTTCAAACAGTCTTTGTTAAAGTGGTTTTTAGAAAGTAAAACAACGCAGTTGCTCACCGACAGTCTCATCGAACTCTTTGAGTTTCTCTTCACTTCCCGTGTGTGTAAAGTCCCCAGCACATATAAGAATATCACCGTCCGGAATGCGATGGATAATTTTAGTAATCTGGTCATGAATGTCCGATATGCAAACGACACGTATAAAGCACTCACGCTTTGGCGTATCAAGCCTTAATTGAATCAAGGAAATATCTAGCCGATCTTAGCCAAAGTACAAATTGCAGTCATAATGGCAATAAAACAAGACTCTGACGAAGACCCCTGTTGTCAGTACGAATAACATTTAGGGTTTCGGATCTAAATGCCTTCCAAAAGGATTACAACTATCGTACGAGGTCATAAAGTCAAAAGAATACTCTATCAAGCATGGAATTCAATCCTTACTTAAATATGGGTCAGGTTTCTTTCTGAACAAGTGTGTGTAAGGTTCCCAAGTGAAAATTTTTTGTCACTCTCAATAAGAAGTAACAAAAGAAAAAAAAGTGAAATTTTTTCCCAGCAATAAATAAACGTTAATGACTTGCTTTAATGGTTCGCACTTTTCACAGATTCTTCCTTCGGATAGGTATTTCGACCAGGCTTCACCTGGCTTGTTACACAATTCTTCAACGGTCACCACTGAGGATTCCATTTTTAATGCATGAACGATTACGGTCTACGAGTTTTGATCATATACCGGCACAAATTTATGGAATTCTGCCAACAGTTTAACAACAAAAATCAGCGCCACATCTTACATGCAGAATGGATATTCCTGCACAATTTAAACTATAAACGAACCTAGCTTGGCGAAAACTGCTTGCACTAAAAAAGCGGTGCTTTCTGTTGATTTATCCCCACTGAAGTTACTATGAGTAAAATGTGAATCCCCCAATTATTAAAAGTACACAATCTGCATTGGAAGTTATAGTACGTCAATTGATACTGTGTTAAAACACTTTTAAGCAATATTACCTATTTAGTTACTTTTAAACTTTAGAATCTGTTGCTAAAGATCCTTCTCACCGCTTTTTTCTTGCGCAAGAGTACCAGGCGATTTTAGAATTTAAATGATTACTTCTCTGAACTTTTGTAAAAGTCCTTGTTATTGGTTAGAATTACAGCAATATTTCTGTTAATCAGAAATCACCTATTCAGCAGCTACTTGAACACTAGTAATTCGCCACTCTTAAATTCGTATTCAGATGTATGTTGAAGAGGTGAAATTTGGCTCCGCTCTTTGTTTACACCGTCTTACTGCCTCCTCAGTTCCACTTCAAATCTCTCCAATTGTCTTTGTAGGCTTCGAATACTGAACTCGAACAACTCTAGAACGAAACAGATAAACCGTAAATGTTTAACATTACAGAAGCAGAAGTTTTCTAAGCTTATTCAGTATATCATGCACTTATCAATGCTGGGCTTTATTATTCCGTTACTCACCAAAAAAAAATTAGTAGGCAGTTCAGCGTATATCCGATCCTCTAATAAAACTCAAATCCGACCACAATGAAACACTGCTTTGTGGTCTCAATGAATGAAGACCTAGATGTAAAAGAATGCAAAACTTCCTCTTCACTCAAAAAGCTGTTTTGTCTCTTCCGAGTAATTAGTGTACTTCGTAATAAAAACCAGTCAGAGAGACAAATGAATTTATTTACCCAACAACTTTTCACCACCAACTGCCATTAAAAACTTCTAAATCCTTATTAAAATGCAGAGTTTATTTTCTGATGCACGAAGTTAGAGAAGATAGCAGTAAATAATTCCTTTTCTGACAGATCAGTAAGGTGGAAGAGAGCAAAAGGTACAAAAAAGGTATAAAACCCGACTTTAACCCAAATACAGGCCAGTGCACGTTGTAATATTCTCTCAGTTATGCGTACCATACTAAAAATACATTTCAGTTCAAGAAAGGAAGTATTTGAACAGAAGAGGTCTGGCAAAGAAACAGCACGGATGTTTGTTGTGACACAAACATTTGAGTATTTTCCACCTAGTTCAGCATCCTGATCCCTGTTTTCAATTCAAATGAATGTGTGAGAACTGATGCAGATATTAATTAAGAAGAATTGAGAGTCGTCCTCAGCCGATACAATAAAAATTCATTCATTTGCCTTCGTCAGTTTAAGGAATACGGCAATTACAATAAATATTTGTATTCATAAACGGCATATGATAACAAATTCTGCAAGCTACAACCTACAGATGCGTAAGAAGTACCATCAGTAAGTAAACGGTATAAGCGAATTAATTTAATGGGGAAGAGTGACACTTATAAATGTTTCTAAAACCTCAGTGATTTTCTTCGGCAAATTTCGATCAGGCATAAAGAATGTAAAAATATATAAGCAGTGCTCTTGCAGAACTTTCCATTGACGTCATCTGAATCTGGAAACCGTTGCAGTGTTTAACAAACCTTTGTCTATCACTTTTTTTATTCCAATTCCGCATTTCCGCTAACAACGCCGTTAACATTGTTCAAAACCAGTGGTGTCTTAAAAACAACAATCATAGCAAACTTCTTCGTAAATATAAAAAACTAAAAAATAAAAAGACCACAATAGTGAAATGCGTCCTCTCGAAAGCGAAACTTATAAATTACAAAATAAAATCAAGAAGCGTCAATTTTTGGTCAGCTAAACATGTTTAAAAACCATAAGCTTTTCATCACTGCTCCCGATTACTCAAAAATCCCACCGCTACAACCTTAGAAGTTAAAATTCAGCTGATAAAAGTCTTCATAAACAAATCACAAAAATTTTTAGTTTTACGGTGTTAGTTAAAACGAAAATATTTTTTATCATTCCAAGAAACTAACTGACGGAAAAGATTTGGGGGCTTCCACAGAACCACCATTCCCCGCCAGAGGAAATCGCTTTTCATTTATTTCTCGAATATACTGTCGAGTTACTTCTGCTAATTCGGCAAGTTGTTGTTTTTTCTGGTGTGACAATCCATTTACCTCTTCAATTGAATCTTTTTTAATTTCAGTGACTTTTAAATTTTAAATGTTTTGACAGTGAAAACTTCAGGCTGAATATCCAGAATGGGCTTAATACTGGCAAAGTTGCAACAACTGCGATGGCCTTACTAAGAAAACGCTAAAGCATCGGGAGATAACATACAGTGTTAACGAAATTTGATACAGCATTTCTGATAGTATTTTTCACCGTAATGGCAGCATTTGATATGGGTTCTGTGGCGTCTTCAACTGCCGAAGTCATCGGACTCTTTCGAAATCGTCAGATTCAGTCACAATGAGTTTTTGTCGCTTCGTTGTACAATTCTTTAGCACATTTGTTAATGCTGAGTTGTAACTTCCAATTTTTTTTAGGTTATGCCAGGTGAGCTTTACGTACGCACCTGACCGCAGAAGTCCGCAGAAGTCCTATCTGGACAAAAAGGTAGGTATTTTTGAAAATACAGAGCTAGACAAAGATTATTTTTGATCGATACTTCGTTACTTCCAATTTTAATTCATTATACTACAATACAGTGTTTGCTGCCTGCTCAATTTCTTTTTGTTTGAAATGCATAAAACTTAGTCATACAACCGGGAGATGGTCAACACCATTCCATTAACTAAAAAGTCTCCACACAATCTTCCCTAAAAAAAATGATAATAAAAGTGAGAGAAAATTTGACCGACTTTGAAAGCAGGCATTCTTGATAATGCAAAAAAAGTCAATGCTTGTTGGCAGAAGCAAGTGACGGTGTTCTGA